GGTGGATCGGGAGAGATCCCTGAGGAAACGCAGAGTCGGGATTTGGGATATGAGGAGTTTATTTCCATCGGAATCAGAGCAGGAGAACGAAACCCCAAATATTCCCACCCTTACTATCCCTCCTTTTCCTGGATTTTCTAAAATCCCTCCGTGGGAGTTTTTCCATGGATTTTTCCAAYCTGAACCCACCCCAAGGCAAATCTTCCATGGAAAATTTTTCTCCAACCTGAATCCAATCCCAAGGCAAATTTTCCATGGATTTCCCACTGTGAGTTTTCCATGGATTTCAGCATCTTGAATTCATCCAACAGCAAATTTCCCATGGATTTTCCACTATGAGTTTTCCATGGATTTCTCCAATCTGAACTCATGTCAAGGCAATTTTTCCATGGATTTTTCCAACCTGAACTTATCCCATGGTAAATTTTCCATGGATCTCCCACTGTCAGTTTTCCATGTATTTCTCCACCCTAAATCCATCCCACTGCAAATTTTCCATGGATTTTTCCAACCTGAATTCATCCCATGGGAAGAGTTTTCCATGGATTTCCCAACAGGAGTTTTCCATGGATTTCTCCAGCCTGAACTCATGTCAAAGCAATTTTTTCCATGGATTTCTCCAACTTGAATCCATCCCATCACGAGTTTTCCATGGATTTCTCTGCCATGAACTTTTCCCAAGGGAAGAGTTTTCCATGGATTTTTCCAAGCTCAACTGATCCCATGGTAAATTTTCCATGGATTTCTCCAAGGGAAGAGTTTTCCATGGATTTTCCACCACGAGTTTTCCATGGATTTCTCCAGCCTGAACTCATGTCAAGGCAATTTTCCATTCATTTTTCCAACCTGAACTTATCCCATGGTAAATTTTTCCATGGATTTCCCACCACGAGTTTTCCATGGATTTCTCCAATCTGAATTCATCCCAAGGCAAATTTTCCATGGATTTTTGCAACCTAAACCCATCCCACCATGAGTTTTCCATGGATTTTTCCAACCTGAATCCATCCCAAGGTAAGAATGTTCCATGGATTTCCCACCGTGAATTTTCCATGGATTTCTCCAATCTGAACCCATCCCAAGGCAAATTTTCCATGGATTTCTACATCTTGAATTCATCCCATGGCAAATTTTCCATGGATTTCCCACCAGGAGTTTTCCATGGATTTGTCCAACCTTAAGCCACCCCAAGGCAAATTTTCCATGGATTTTTCCAACCTGAACTTATCCCATGGTAGATTTTCCATGGATTTCTCCACCGTGAGTTTTCCATGGATTTCTCCAATCTGAATCCCTCCCAAGGTAAGAATATTCCATGGATTTCCCACCGTGAGTTTTCCATGGATTTCTACATCTTGAATTCATCCAACAGCAAATTTTCCATGGATTTCTCCAATCTGAATCCATCCCAAGGCAAATTTTCCATGGATTTCCCACCAGGAGTTTTCCATGGATTTGTCCAACCTTAAGCCACCGCAAGGCAAATTTTCCATGGATTTTTCCAATCTGAATTCATCCCATGGGAAGAGTTTTCCATGGATTTCCTACTGTGAGTTTTCCATGGATTTCTCTAACCTGAATCTATCCCGAGGCAAATTTTCCATGGATTTCTTCACAAGGAATCCATCCGAAGGGAAGAATTTTCTATGAATTTCTCCAACCTGAACCCATCCCAAGGGAAGAATTTTCTATGAATTTCTCCAACCTGAACCCATCCCAAGGCAAATTTTCCATGGAATTCCCACTGAGTTTTCCATGGATTTCTCCAAAATTAATTCATCCCACCTTGAGTTTTCCATGGATTTCCCACAATGAGTTTTCCATGGATTTCTCCAAAATGAATCCATCCCACTATGAGTTTTCCATGGATTTCTCCAATCTGAACCCATCCCAAGGCAAATTTTCCATGGAATTCCCACTGAGTTTTCCATGGATTTCTCCAAAATTAATTCATCCCACCATGAGTTTTCCATGGATTTCCCACAATGAGT